GCTCTTTTTCCTGCCTTCTTTTCTCCAATTTGAATGCTAATTTGTTAGCTTTCTTCTCCACTCTTCGTTCCTGTGCAGAGGTATATTTACATCATTCATATCTTTAAAGTGAAATCAAACCTATGCTTAGAAAATTCCTCTAACCTCCCGACCATCAGCAATTTGTAAATCTCACATCTGAAAGATGTATTTTACCTTGCGCTCTTCTTTTATAGCTTGCTTTCTTGCTCTTTTATCTTCTTTGCTTTCACCTTTAGAACGCGGCTGAGTTGATACCTTAGGTAGATCGCTGGCATTAATCATCTGCATTCGTTCGACTTGCTTTGCTGTGAGTCCTTTCTTAGGTAAGACACTGAGAGGTATTCCTGTTTTAGAAGATATTCGAATTTGTTTGGGCTAAAATAAAAATAAAATAGCACATTTATTTCCCAGTCATATTAAAAAATAGCTCACTAATGACACACTGTTGGTGCCCTTCCTAATAGCACCCCTTGCCATACAAAGATAGATAAGGTTATCATGTGAAAATCTGTTTACTCCATTTCCAGTATCGCACATTAGGACTTACCTTCGGTTGATACTTGATAAGCTGCGGATGGTTGTATAAATTGGAGTATGTACCTAAAACAAACAAATGAAACAGAAACATGTATCAATAAACACACTTTAATATTTTCAGCAAAATATTAAAGAGCTCCTAATATTCCTGACTGTGGTGACCTCATAGTGCAAAATAACACTGGAGTATCTTTTTCTTTTCTTTTTTTTGGGGAGAGGTTTTCGCTATAGGGCGCATGCGCTTGCCAGAGAGACAGAGAGACCAGAAAGCGAGAAATCACCCCCCGGGGGATGGTCACGCCGCAATCCCTTCTCCTCCATTCTCCTCTCGGGATCGTGTGCACGCACGCACACGCGCCAGGCATGAGTTTTAAGCCACCGGGTCCGGGACGCGAACCACGGTAGACTACGTGGGAGTCCAGCAACACACCCATTACGCTAACTGCTGGTTCCCTGGAGTATCTTTTATAAATGTTTTTAAATTGCTTACAACTCAGTAATAATACCACTGTTTCCAAATCCTTTTTACAAATTCCCTAAAACCTGGCCTCTATTAAAATACATGTACTTTTTAAAAGTTGATGCATTTTGTACTTTAAAATACTATCAGACTTTTAGAAGACATAAGACACTTACTACAAATGGATTCACAATCCCACTTCTCTTTGGCTTCTTCAAGAACTACAGTAATAATCTCTTCCTCCTCAGACTCACTGAGCTCATTCATTGGCAGATCTTGATCTTCAAAGGGTTCAAGAGTATTCAACTTTACACAACTTTTGGTTGAATTTTTAAAAATGAAGACAGAGAAAAGGAAAAAAAAAAACACAGACACATATCATTATACTATATGCCACCAAAACTGCCCTTCAAGAGCTCCATATAGAAACAACTATAATTTTTTCAGACCATCCACTCCTGTGTTCCTGCCTGTCATTTCCTGTCAAACTGCAGTCCATCCAGACCTGCCTCTTCCCTCCAGTGGGATTTAGATACTCATTCTGCTGATAAACAGGTAAAATCAAGAAAATTGCCATACTTTTCTGCCTTCTCCTTGTATTAGTCACTCAAAACTTCCTGCAAACGATTGCTGTCTACTTGAATGGAACTTTCCGATTCGGCATTATCCAGAGCCAGCAGGTGACATGGTGGTTAAAAGCACTGGACTCCCACACGGCTGGCTGCAGTCTGAGTACCGGACTGCTGGCTTGCTTTCTCGCTTTCCCTCTCGCTCTCACTCCGATCCTCTCTGGTCAAGTTTAAATAAGTAAATAAATAAATGTTAGTAAAATAATTCTTCAAAAACAAACAAAAAAACAGGTAAAATCTACCTCCATCTTTGTAAAGCCATAATACATTAAATGAGATGGTGGCTTTTCTAGGAAAACAAATTTTTTTCAAGCCTAGAAAAGGACTGGCCCATTAGTCTCACCAAACTACTCAAATAACTCAAACTATGGACATCTTATCCTGCATGTGGGATCTGCATACTACAATAACTGTGGAATCAGGCCTTTCTAGCAGATATAAACACATGCTCATTAGTGTACCTCCGAGAAGAGTCACTTTGATGTGCATGCGAACTTGCCAAATAACTAGCTAGTCAGTTCTGCTAATGTGGCTGGAGAGAAATTCTGACCTTCCCATGAGCCATAATTCTCAGAACACCTGGCATTTCAAGAAGATGAAAAGAGAGCATATACTTTTTAGTCAGAATAACTTAGTCAAAAAGGCTAGAAGCACGATCTTCTCTATTTAGAACGTCCCCTCAATGTTTCCCACTTCGACCCTCAGTTATTCTACTATGACTCTTCTCATGCCAAAGAAATATAGAAAAGAAAATCGCCATACTTTTCTGCCTTCTCCTTGTAATAGTCACTCAAAACTTCCTGTAAACGATTGCTGTCTACTTGAATGGAACCTTCCAATTCGGCATTATCCAGAGCTCCAATTTCATCATCATCATATTGTTCATAAAACTTGAATATAAACAGAGAAAAGATATCATGAAAAACAAATGAACTCATTAAAACCATAGCACTTAATGTTAAATCTCGTTCATGTACAACGCTGATCTTTTTTTTGAGAGGTTATTGCTATAGGGTGTGCGCGCTCACCAGAAAGACAGAGACAGAAAATGAGAAATCACCCCCTAGGGGGATGGCCATGCCACAATCCCTTCTCCTCTTGGGATCTTGGGCATGCACGCACACGCGCCCGGAGTGTTTTAGCCACTGGGTCCGGGACTCGAACCACAGTCAACTATGTGGGAGTCCAGCGACATAGCCATTATGCCAACTGCTGGTCCCAATGCTAATCTTTTGTAAGATCACAACTACATTAAAATATCAGCAGAGATTTAGCACCTTAACAACCGGAGGTAGAAGACATTTCTGCCCAGTACTTTAAGATTTAAATTTAGACTAAAAACAGACCTCCGTTTAATATGAAAACAAAAGGAACTTATTCTTAGCCTGAAGAATAAAACGCTAGGTAGAGATGTTTACCTCCGAATAGCTTTAACATATTTTCAAATTCTTGGGTTACATAAACTCAAAGACCATGCAATCAAACAGCCTTCTATTACTGTACACTTTCTATTGTTTAGATGATGTTTATTGTTATTACTCAAATGTTGCTAACACAGTTATGTTTTGTCAGAGTAAGCAGGGGATGATCTCCCAAAGAGTGAAGGTATTTATATAATAGTTTGCCTATCTTTTGAGAGAAAAGGAGGACACAAGTACTTAGTGAGAGGGTAGTGAAGTTAGACCCTTCACCTCAGATTTGGTTGGAAGGAAATCATTCATTGATCACATATTGAACCATCTGAACGACTATACCCCAGACACTGCTTTAGAGCTTGGGATCTATCAGTGAGCAAAACACACAAATCTCTGAGTGTGGGAGACTCACATCTTAATCAGAGAAAACCCTATAAGCTAATAACATAATGAACACATCAGAGATGACATTAGAAGGTGTGAAGTGCTACAGGACAACAGGATGAGGTACAGAAAACTTGTATAAGCAGACAGCCAACAGGAGGGAATTACAAGCCCCATAGCTGGTGTGTCAATGAGACCCAAACCCAGCACAATTCAGGCTTTTAAAGCATCTTACACTATTTTCTTTCTGCTCCTCAGTGTTAGTTATGTCAGAAAGCTCAAGATATGAGAAACTGAATAAAATGAAATTTTGTTTATGCTCAAGCCAAGAAAATAGCATAATCTTATGACTGAAGAGATCCTGAGTTGAAATGGCAGATCTCAAAGAGGGAAGTAAGGATGTTTGATCAGTCTTTTGACCTATACATGTTCTTTTCAGAATTAAAATGACAGTGGTTTTATGCTGTTTTAATAAAAAAAGAAAAATTTCTAATACTAAGTTTTAGCTGTTGGTCCTGACTTTTTTTAAAAAATAAAATTTATTAGGAGACAGTATTAAAAGGGTCCCTTTTTGGACTTACCTTCTCAAACCTCTCATCATGTAGGGTCAGCTGTTCATTTCTCCTCATGACTGAGGAAGTAATAGAATACTCTGTAAAGCGACTTTTGGTTTCCTCCTCCCAAAACAAGTGATTTTCTACAACTCCAGGCTTTCCAGGTACAGACATATCATCGTCATCTGATAAGGGGCTTGTGGAGTCATAGTTGTCATCATCACTGCCTCTTCCCTTCTCATCTTCCCACTCACTGCCATCTTCACTCTCAGATTGCCTGAAGTCAAAGAGCCAAAAATTCCCTGTCAAAACAACTCAAAAAATAACAGAACAAAGTACTTTTACACAAATAAAACCGGAGGGTACTTTAGGAATGGTTATTGTTTAGACAGGAACAGCGATGCTGCTTGACCACTGCTATGCTGAGAGCAAGGACATGGCAGTCAGGATCCCTGACACTGGCTCTGTAAGGACATCGTGTCACTTGGTGTCTGCTCTAAAACTCAAAATTCTCTCAACAGTATCAACTGGAATATTCTACGGCTACCACCCCACTGAAGAATTAACAGTCAAGTTATCCTTGCTTCGAAACAAACTGCACATACTGTATAACCGCTCCCTCTTCTTCTCCTGTTGGCTTATTGGCCTGAAGAATAAAGTCATCTTCAAGCACATTATCTGGATTATCGAAGTCAAAATCGTCATCGAGAGCTGCAACAATGTCAGGATCAAAATCCAATCGAGGTCCTAGGAAAGCAAAAATGGAGTAATAATTTCCAAGAAAAATACAGTTTCTTTACTTAACCAATATAATCTGGGTACCTGTGACAAATTCTACTTACATACTGAGACTAAAAGCATGATTAAGGGCTTAAGGATCAGTCTAGTGAGGAAGAGACATAAAAATGGGTCATTTCAAGTAAAAAAGTCCTTCCTCTTTCACTATCTACTACTAAAAAACACTCTTCCATTACACACTTGTAAAATTACACTTTGCCTATGTAGCAAAATACAAAGCTTTCAACAGCAGGGAAAAAACAAAGTTTAACTTCACCTGTTGAAAATAAATAAAATATTTGTAGACTGTCACACTTCCAGTCTTTTTAGACTATGAGATTTTAATGAACTGTGTTTATTCCTTCAGTCATATTATTCCATCTGTAAAAACACGAGCAGTTCAAGAAAAAAAATTCAAGTTCAAATTTACAATCTGACAGCTTCTGGTGCCATTCCTACATGGCTATTGCTAGTCTCCACTCTCATTTCCTATTAATACTTACCCTTCCTTCTAAGAATGCCAAAATGTATAGTTTCCTATATTCATGTTCTCTTGCTTTTGCACATTCAGTCCTGTCTGAAATATCCTCTCTTCTCTACCTCCCCCTCCTTCTTCCACCTGTTTAACTTCTACTAAGACATTATCTTAGATGTCACTTCCTCTAGAAAGCCCTGCCCAATTTCCTTGCTCCACCAACATTTATCCACCTGTACTGTAATTTCCCATTGTCTCTCCTTGCCAACTCTGCTTTATTATGGTCTAACTCAAGTCTGTAGAGTAATGAAAGAATGCCAGAGGGAAATTGACAGTCAGTATCAAGGCAACTTGGGAGAAAACACCAAAAACCATTTTGATGGACTTTTGTGTTCTAAATTATGATGAAAATAAAACATTTTCTTAGTGTACCCTGAGAAGACAGTAAAACGATCTTCTGTAGCGTGATGGCTATGCCACTGGACTCCCATGTATTCAACTGTGGTTCAAGTCCTGGACCCGGTGGCTTAAACTCACACTGGACGTGTGTATGTGTGTGCCCAAGATTCCAAGAGGAGAAGAGGGGAAGAGACTGCAGTGTGGCCATTCCCCCTGGGAGGTGATTTCTCACTCTCTGCCTCTCTCTCCCTGTCTTCCTGGTGAGCACACGCGCCCTATAGCCAAAACAGAACAAAACAAAACTTGTATACTCTCGGGAGAAATTTGGAAAAACAGGCTACTTTTCAAAATTATACTACATGTAACAAATGATGAGTATCATTGTTATCTTTGTAAAAGATAAAAATAGATAAAATCCCTCTACTAGATCACTAAAAATAATTTTTCTACTTTCTTCTCCAAAACGATCTTTGAAGATAGATGAATTTGATGCTTATTAATACAAAAGCCCTTCCTAATGATTTCTAATATGAATTCCAGACACATCTCAACTGCTTCGATGTTTTACTAGGGCAAGAAAATATTACAACATTATGTTTCTTTATGGAAAACATGAATTTGTCCACTTGAAAAGTTAAGAGAAATTAAAACACACCTGACACGGGAGCTGCTTTATTTAGCAATCCAACATCTTCTTCAAACTCAGATGCAAATACTGATGAAGGCAATTTAATTCCAGTGCTCTAGGAAAAGAAATTATATAATGATTAGGTTCATTTCAAAATAATTCTGAATTACTTTGCTGGGTTGGAAAGCAGCCCCCCAAAATTCATGTTCCCAAGATCCTCAGACTGTGAGCACATGTGAAACAGTATCCTTGACTAATCAGATACCCTTATTAGTCAAGATACGGTCATCCTCATCAGGGTAGGTCCTTATAAGAAGGCCACGTGAAGACAGATCCACATGGCAGAATGCCATATGAAGATGGAGGCAGACTGGAGCTAGACCTCAGCATGCCAAGGTCTGGTTGCCAGCAACCACCAGAAGCTAAGAGTGAGGCATGCAGCACTTCATTCCTCTAAGCTTGCAAGAAGGAACAATCCTGATCATATCTTCATTTCCTACTTCTGACCTCCAGAACTGCAAGAAAATACATGTCTAATTTTTAAGTCACCACTTCATGGTAATTTTTACTGTAGTCCTAGGAAACCATTACAACTATACTCTGTATTCTCTCACCCTGCTCCAGTTACAACCTTCCTACAGTATTTCACGATGCATTCTCTAGTACATCATTCTGTTTAATCCTTCAACCCCATGAGCTAGGAGCACATTTTAGTGAAAGGACAAAAGCTAGGAAGGTTAAATGACATTCTTGCCTGAGTCTGGTCCTTAAGTGAGATTCTGGGATTCTTAACTAGATTTCACAACTCCACTGGCCTGAAGTTTCAAAACATAATCTTTTATTTTAAACTAGAGATAATGTCCTAATCTCTAGTAACGGCACAGCCTTTCTCTGAATCAACTAGCTTAAGCCCTAGGATGATCATAAATCACTTCTCTGTCCTTATGGCTCTCTGAATTCTCTTGTATATAGTGATTTCACTTGGGCACCATCCTATTTAGTTTGCTGAGGCACGGACAATGACAACAGCTGCTCAGCTTGTCTATACCTAAACCAACCTTCGTAATTCTGCCAGATTAACTCCTTTAACATTTTATTCACTGCACCTTCTTGAACTTATATAACAGATCTCAATCTTTGACTCTGTACTTAAGCTCCTGATTTTCAAGATCCTATAAAACCAAGGCCTACTCTTATGTATTCAGATTTCTGTTCAATATGTATGACCATGCAAATCAAGTAGTTCCTCCCTGTCATATAATAATTTAAAATAACTTGTTGTGCACATGTGTGCCAGATACAGTGATCCACGTTACCTCATATCCCTGCTTCCTGACTAAAATGTTCCTTTCTCTCTTCATAGTTCCCACCCCTTGGAGACCAGCTCAGTTCCTCCTGCATGAAGCCCTTCCTGACTGCTGTCATAGAAATTTCCTTAAAGTGAACTCCCCTTATTTTTCACACTATGCAATCTACTTAAATGCAGTAGCCTATATTCTCTAACTGGCCCTTATGCTTCAGTTTTGTCTTTCCAATCAGTTAATAATGTGAGGGTAACCACAAGTTATCTGTCTTTGCACCTCAACTCCTACACTGTCCTGGGCCCAGGAGTAGGCACGCAGCTGGCTGGTGCACTCCACTCACTGCAGGAGAGCACTCGGCACTGGAAGGCTCTGATGAGCACAAGCTACATGCAGCAGTGCACACAACAAACTGTTATAGCTTCCAAAATTGGAGCACAGACATAGGCAAAGCTCCATTTATTGGCTGTAGAGTCCTTTCCTCCTTCCCCAAAAAAAACCAGCTCTGCTGAGATATAATTTACATAGTATTAAGGTAATGCACTCAAAGCATAGAATTCCATGGGTTTTTATATACTACATTACTTAAAACTTGACAAAATATATATTTATGTAGCCTTTTAGGTTTTTTTAAAGGCACTCGTGGGATTACAATTTTGGGATTAAGAAAAGTGGGAGGAAGGTTAGTTTATGTTTAGTGAATTTACCTTTGGGAGATTATTTATCAAACCTTTAAAAGTAGCCAGAGAATCACAAGCATGATCAGCATTTAGACAGGGATTACTTAAGTTTATGTGGTGTAAATTTTTCCTTGGTTGCAGAGGCTCCCAATAATAGCAAGTTTGCCCAGCTACTTTCTACCACGATAGCATGCTCTTTCCTTCACAAGAAAATGAGGGCCTTATCAGACATTCATACTGCCTTACCTTCTGTTGAAGGTAAGATTTATTCAATATTTCTATTCGATTTTGGTCCTTCATTACAAGTTATAGCTGACCCTTGAACAACACAGGTTGGAACTATGTAGGTCCACTTATATGTATTTTTCTGTAAACATATTTTCTGTAAATACTGTAACCATATTTTCTCTTATGATTTTCTTAGTAACATTTCCTTTTCTCTAACCTATTTTAGAAATACAATATATATATATATAACATACAAAACAAGTTAACTGTTATCAGTAAGGCTTTTGATCGACAGTCGGCTATCAGTAAAGTTTTGAGGAGTCAAGGTATACGTGGATTTTTGACTGTGCAGAGGGTTGGCATGCCTAATTTGCCTTGTTCAAGGGTCAACCATACTTTGGTCAAAAAATGTACACAGGAGGGCCAGCTCTATTGTGCTGTGTCTGAAGGAGCCAGAGCTCAAGTGGCCAACCATGATTTGAATCCAGGCCCCAGCTACTTAAAAAACATGCTGGATGTGTGTGTGTGTGTGTGTGTGTGTGTAAAATCTTAACAGAATGCAAAAATGGAAGCCAGGGATTGTGGTATGATCTGACCCCACTGGGGAGGATACTTTTCCCTTTCTCATCTCCCTCTGGCATATGCATGTTCCCTCTGGCAATCAGAAAAAAAATACACGAGATTAATCCATATTTTTGCATAGCACTACAGAATACTGAGAGCACTTTTGTTTTTGAGTATAATTCACATGTCCTTATAAATAGCACTGAAGTATATGTTTAAGAGCCTTATTTTGTTAAAAAGTACAATTAGTGACTACTTTCACTCAATTAGATTAAAAACAAGGGGTCTTCAAAAAGTACACAGAAAATGTGTACTATGAAAAACTTGGCAACCAGCAGTTAGCGTAATGGATGTGTCACTGGACTCCCATGTAGTTGACCGTGGTTTGAGTCCTGGACCCAGTGGCTTAAAACTCGCGTCCTATAGCAAAAACCTCGCGACCCACCCCCCAAAAAAAAACTTATGCATGGATATCAAGATTTTTTTTGTACCAAAATAAATTCATACATTAATTTCACATTTCCAAGAACTTTTGGAACTCCCTTCATACAATCTAGTTAGAAGAATATTATGACTATTAAAACTTTTCTTCCTAAGTAGTTAAACAACTTCTGGATCTCCTCTCGTCTCCATGGGTTATAGAAGAAATTGAGCTATATATAAGATAAATACACTATGACTGATACAATAGTTGGGGAATAAAAAATAGACAAGGTAGCTGCTCGAAGAGATGTGATGGGAGATCTGGTGCCTTACAAGAGTTATGTCCTAGTTAGTGAGTCAACAGCTGCAGTTTATTATCTCTTTCTTTGGAATGATACCCTGAAACCTAACCCTCTGACTCATCTTAAGCAACAAACTATGGACTGGAAGTGCTACAATCACATCTTCCTAGAGGAAAGGAATGCCTACACCATGATAAGACTGATAAATGAGAAGCAGTGGGAATTGGTGCCCATTTTCTCTCTTCCCTTCTGTCTATAAACCCAATGATTGTCTTTTTCTTAAAGTGCTAGGTGATATAAAAGTTTCCCATAAGGAAATTTACTCCAGCATTAATTTCTGATAAATATGTACTCTCATCTGTATTTTAAAATAAAGTATTAAAGTGGACTGGACTTCTGTTGAGAACATAAATTTCCTTACATTCTATTCTCTTATGATCAGCCTGCAGCTTTTACGAAAGTATTATAGATCTCAACATTATATAAAAGGTCTACTTTAAAACATGGTTTATGATCCCAAAACAGTTGTTAATTAACATAGAATATAGAATTGCTTTATACTGAGAAGAGGTAATGGTCTATGAATCAAAAGTCTAAACCTGTCAAATGACCATTACTTTGGTCACCTGCCACCAGAGAAGAGGTGGCTGCCTCTTTCCTGATGGTGTTATCCACATACACGTACTCAATTTTAAGTGATGGCAGGGCCTATCTTTGTGCTGTTCAAACTGACACCATTACTTGCCCTCGTTATCTGGATTTTAAATGGTGGTTTTTTCACATCCACACACTCTAAATGAGAGAAACTGCTGCAAGGCCTTACTGGAATTATTACAGTTTCTTCTTTTTCATCTCTCTTGTTGTATGCACTGAAGACACCAGAGGGAATAAGCTCTGAGGGTCCAGATGGCTCCCTCAGGTGCTGCAGGTAGTCATAGTCATCGTCAAAGAACACTCCGTACTTCCTCTGTTCTGCTCGCCTTTCTTCATCATCTACCTTGGATAATAAGCAAAACAGAATTAGTACTCTTCCCAAGGATAAAGCATAGGAGCATTACAATGAACATAGTTTTCAGAACAGGAGATAGATGGCATACACTTTGACTGACAGGAATGAGATGATAAACTCAGGAAATAGACTCTAAACCAGACTGCTATATGAAACTAAAGAAAAATAAAGTACATAGGATTAAAATGAAAATAATTCCTCCTTTACTAAGTATTTCTATGCAACAATCTGAGCAAGAAACACACTTTTTTTTTTTAGGTGTTTGGAAGATTAGAAAATAAGAATTCAGTACAAGTACAATTTCTTGTATTTATGGGCAAAAGAATTTTACAACATATTGCGACCAGCAGGTTGTGTGGTGGTTAAGGCTCTGGACACTCCCACATCGCCAAGCACGGTTCAAGACCCAGACCTGGTGGCTTACTTTTCCTTTCTCTCTCTTTGTTCAAATTAAAAAAATAAATAAATAAGTGAATGAATAAATAAAATAAAATAATTCTAAAAAAAGGAAAAAAAAAAAAACCCTCAACTTTGCGATATACAAAGTTAATGTACTAAAGAAGTTCAACACTCAGCCAGTGCCCCTTGACGCCTTTTCATATTATCCAGACTTAACAAGTACACTCTAACAATAATTAAGTCAACCTTCTCAAGACCCTCCTGCCATTTTCCGAGGCTAACCTATGAGCTCATATGCTTTATACTTTATGACATGAGTGACCAGGAAGCAAGATACAGTTTGTGGTTCTGAAATGGCAGGATCTTAGGGAAGCAGAGATTGAGCATACAGTTGTGCACTAGGTAATATCATGTAGCTTTGTAGCTGGTGGTTTAGTAAATATTTACCATTACTCTTCAAGATTTTTTTCATTTAAATGTCTCAAATAATGACTCTTTATCTTCCCAAAATAAATATGTATGATGTAAAAACAAACAAACAAGAAAACCTGGTAACAGTCTATTTACACACTTAATGGCTCTAGAATAAGACTTACTTTCTGTGTGGGCAACAGAACTCTCTGGGGTGCGGTCTCATCTGCTGCTAAAGGATCTCGTTGGCTCCGGTGCACCAAATGAAAAGACACAGCTTTCTTCTTCTCTATAAATGGCTTTTTCTTCCTGTGAGGCTTCAAAGGAACAGAATCAGAACAAATCATTAAAGTGGAATCACAAAAAAAACAAATACCATAGTCATACACATCTTCAGTAAATTACATAAAGACTCAACAGAATTTTTTTTTAAGAGAGATTTTTGCTATAGGCACATGCACTCACTGGAGAGACAGAAAGTGAGGACCCCCACCCCCCCATGGGATGGCCATGCTGCAAGCCCTTCTCCATTTTCCTCTTGGGATCTTGGGGCAGCCACACAAACACGACTGTTGTGAGGTTTAAGCCACTGGGTCCGGGACTTGAATGGTGGTCAACTAAGTGGGAGTGCAGGGATCTAACCATTACAGCATCTGTTGGTCCCCTCAAACGATTTTTTAAAATAGAACCCATATTTACTTCTCTTCAACAAACATTTGTTGAGCATCTACTTGTGCCACGCCTTATTATGAAAGCTGGGAATAGAGCAGTGAGAGACAGATAAAGTCCGTATTTGGCAAAACCTATCAACATGAAAATAATTTCAGACGAAGAAAATAAAACACCGTGGTGTGCAGAAAGACCCAAATATTACTTTAGATTGAGAAGGTCCCTGTCAGATGGAACCAGAATGGCAAGGAAATTGCCACAAGAAAATCCAGAGTAGACGATCTCAAACTGGGTAAACCTTTCCTCTGCCAACTAGTAAATGAAACTTCGACACAAAGATTCATCCTCCATTTCTACATTCTTATTTCACTATCTAAAATCTTGATTTTTCTATCTGGGGCCAATCTTAGACCCTCCCCACAAGTCTCCTTCCCTAGAACCAAGTGACAGACACTCCAATGGCTGGAGAAATCAGCAACTCTCTCAGTCTGACTCCACGAAGCACAGGGTGACGCAGGCGTGTCTGGTGTCACAGGTTTATGGTCAACCCAAGGGGCGCAGAGTCGCAAGCACACGGTATGGGTAAAACAATAGTCAGGGCATTCTCTTCGGGTCACTAGCCGAGTAGGCTTGGCCGTCGGAGACTATAACCTGCAAACTGTGCCGGCCTGTGTGGGGGACCCATCACTACACCGGCGTTACCTAGACCCAGGCTGCAGCAGCCACTGGCATAACCGGAACCCGCCGGGCCTCTGCAAAGCCACAGCGTCCCAGCGCCGAGACAACCAACGCTTGCTCACCATGCTGCGGCCGCGCGGCGCTCACCCCGAAAAAGCGCGGCGACTACCCCCTCGAAATCCGGGAGAGGCCAAGGCCCAGTTCGCAGCCCCGCGTCTTTACACTTGGCCACACGTGCGACGCCAGCACCCGGCGGAACGGCACGCCACAGGCCGTGGAAATGAACCAATCGCAGAGGTGCTGGCGCCTCGCGGCCGGAAGTTACGTTGCTGGCTCCTCTCAACGATCGCGAGAAGCTGTTGGGAGGTGGGGCTAGCTCGGTTCCTACTCCCGGGTGGGCGGTGGCTCCTCGGGCCAGAATTCTTCCAGGCGGCCAAGGGGATAGTCGGCCCTTTTGCGTTGAGGCGCAAAAGCGAGAGATGCCACCTATGGGCGAACTTCCTTTTCTAGCGCCCTCTACCGAGACCGAGGGGACGAATCTGGCATCCCTTTAGAGTTGCGTCCCTTCCCTATTCGCAGCCTTAAAAAGCGAAAAGCCGTGTGTGCAGAAGGGAGGCGTCCGCCCTCCTGGGCCAGCGAGGTTTCAGGTTCCAGCGCGTCGGGGCGGGGGCGGAGCCGGGCCGCCCCAGAATTAATTGTCGGCTGCTCCAGAATTAATCAGGAACCCCCACCCACCCACCGACCCCACTGCACCCTGTTTGGCAAACTGCCTTCGTCCGTGCGGTTAACAAAACCCCGGAGACGCTGTTGACTGCAGGAACACTGAACTATAATGAAGTATATTCAGAATCTCTGATGTTTGTATGTAAGGCGAAAAATGAAGTTATTTTTCCGCTACGTTTTCCATCAAATGTTTTAGAGTGCTTTAAGGTAGTAAGCTATAAGCAGACTGTTTCAGGAAGATTTCAGTTAGGTGCTGGAGCATTCTCATAAGTTTTCGGGGGTGAGAGTGTGGTCTATGCAAAGTTTTATCAGCTGACTTTTCCCCAAGTTTGTATTTCCCCTTCCCAATTTCTGGTGTCTTTCTGATGCCCGAGTTATCTCGGAATGTGTCTCTGTGTCCTGAAAATGATCATTATAAATATTTGTGAAATATTATTCCTCTATAAATAAAAATAATAGGAATGATTTAGGTTAGAACGACAAAAGTGGTCATGGAATTTCTCTCTTTATGTAGGTAACACATGACACTCCTGTTTGCCAGATACTCATTACTGTTTGTTAGGTAGAATTAAGATGCATGAGGACGGGTTTGGTTTTGTTTCAACCCATTTTATTTGCTACTGCATCTATCCTCAGGGGCTAGAAGAGTGCTTGGTGCATTACATTCAATAAGTTTTTGTTTAATGAATTCACGTTCTGGCACTTGACCGGAATTGTCTCATTTCTTCCTTACTCAAGACCGTAAGAGAAGTAGTGATATCATCATTTAGCAAATACAGAAGACAAGTTGTAAGAATATTAGGCAACTTTGATAAGGTCTCACAATTAGTAAATGGCAGGGCAAGGATTTAAACCTAAGACATATTGCTTTTCTTTGTTCTTTTGAAAATAGTCTGCTTACTTTATTAAGCTCCCTAACACAAACACTAAACACACTGTGGTAAGTACTTTGTATTCCTGTGTCCCCTAAGTCCTTTGACAAGTCTGTGAAGTACAGTTAGATCACATTAAGCCAGTCTCCCAGATGCCGTGTCTGAGGTGCAGAGAATTGAAGTTACCCAAGGACTCGCAATACATGGAAATGCCTAGGAGCCCAGTCATCAGGCCTGTTTAGGAAGGCCTTACCCGTATCCATATGCTCTCCTGCTTCTTTAAGGCGGTGGCCAGCAAACTGTTTATTTTACTTCCTAACTATCCAAATGTAGCACCCCATTACCCATTTTATCACATTTATCATTTTTAACTCTCCAATCAAGCCGCTTCCCTATATCCTAGCCTTCTGTAGCTATCCTCTGGCCTCAAAATAAAGTCCAAACGTTTCTGTGCTACAAAACTACAGATCAGCTAATCTTAGCCATCAGTTTAATATCATGTCCCTTCCTTCCCACACATTAACACTCATGACCCGGGTCTATCAAACTGTTTGAAGTTACCAAATGTACCTAAAAGAGGGAGATGGGCTCTCTTCCTTATCTAGAAGGGTCTTTGGCCAGCTCTGTGACACAGTGGTAGCAGGGTCCCACATAGTAACTACAGTTCAAATCCCTGGTCTGATCAGGCTGAAATATGTCGGGCACATGTGCAAGTATCCAGTGATCCAATGCGCTGGAAGATTGGATAAAGAGGATCACAGAGTGACCAGGCTCTGTGGAGGGTATGCCTCTCTCTCAGCTTTTATCATGAATAAAGAAAAAGAAACAGTAAGGTTTTCTTCTGCCCTCCCTATTTTTCAAATCTTAGTTTAGCCATCTGTTCCATCTGGCCAAATCTGAGGCCAGAGTTATCCCTAAAGGGGTAACAGGAGGGTAGGTCTCACAAGAGACTGCCCCAAACCATCCTGAGATGGGGCCGGTTGAGATTCCAGAGAAAGAAGAACTAAACACCAGGGTGATCAATTTAAGACATTTATTTGGAGAACTTACATACTGAATGCTTTAGTGGACAGTGAGAAGAGAAATGTTCTACTTAGGTATGTCTGCAACGAGGAGATCAGGTTATGGAGTTTATATAAAGAATTTGGCTCAGGACCAGGGCTAGTTTCTGTGTGTTTAGAACATATTTTGATCTTTCAGAGTTTTCAGCAATAACTTACACAGCTTTATCAGTGCCTGGGAATGTTCAAGGCCCCAACTTGGGTTTAATCCTGTAGGAAAAAAAGAAACACAAACCATGCAGCTGGCCAGGTCATAGAACAGTCAACGCACTAAGTTCTCAGTCAGCACATAGAAAGAAGGTGGGGGTGTGTGGAGGAAATTTCACTATCTCTGCTTTTAGGAAACTTTCTCATACTCTTCAAAAGTGGAGTCTATCCCGAATGTTCTCACTGTATCTTCTGATTACATTCCGCTTTAACTGTATATAAATCCTGACTCTCATCTGTCTCTAGAACCACGTAGCAGTATCCTACTGGGAAGGAAGTCTTGCTAACTTTGCTTTCCCAGGGTTTAACTGAGTAAAAGTTGAATAATAATTTTATTATTCAAAGCACTGTTCATACATGAAGTCATGCAATTTTTTTTTTTTAGAGTTGTTTTCCTTAGAGCATGGGCACTCACCAGGGGAGAGAGAAATAGTGAGAGAGATAGTGAGACATCACCCCCCCAAGAGGGAATGGCCATGCCACAATCCCTTCTACTCCATTCTTCTCCTTGGATCTTGTGCACACATACATACACGCCTGGTAATTTTGAAGCTACCTGGTTCAGGACTCAAACTGCGGTCAGCCATGTGGGAGTCCAGTGACATAACTGCTATGCCATTTGTTGGCCCCAAATTATTCAATTTTTAAAACAAGATTGAGGTAGATATTATTTTCTTACCTATTTTTTAAAGAATTCTTTCTTTGGGACCAGCAGTTAGCTTAATGGGTATGTTGCTGGACTCCCATGTAGTTGACCACGGTTCAAGGCCTGGACCCCGTTGCTTAAACTCATGCCAGGTGCACATTCATGCGTGCCCAAGATCCCAAGAGGAAAATGGAAGAGAAGGGATTGTGGCATGGCCATCCCCTCAGGGGGTGATTTCTCGCTTTCTGTCTCTCTCTTTGTTTTTGGGGGGGGGCCCCCGCCCCTAAAAAAAAAAAAAAAAAAAAAAAAAAAAAAATCAACTCTCAAAAAAAAAAAAAAGAATTCTTTATTTAATTTATTTATTATTATCATTTTTCAGTTTGACCAGAGAGAGAAAGTGAGAAAGTAAGTCAACAGGTCCAGGACTTGAACCATGGTTGGTCCTGTGGGAGTCCAGTTCCTTAACCTCCATACTACCTGCCAGCCCCTATTATCTATTTTTAAAAAACCGATTAAAGATTGAGGAACAGGGACCAGCAGGTGGCATGGTAGTTAAGGTGCTGGACTCCTACATGGCTAACCATGATTTGAGTCTCAGACCCAGTGGCTTGAAAAATCATGCCGGGTGCTTGTGCATGGGTGCCCAAAATCCTGAGAGGAGAATGGAGAAGAGAAGAATGGAGCGGTGTGGCTGTTCCCTCTTGGGAGTTATTTCTCACTTTCTTTCTCTCTGTCCCTCTCTGGATAGCACATTTGTCCTGTGGCAAAAACCTTTCAAAAAAAGAGGAAAAAAAAAAAAAAAAAAAGACTGAGGAACGAAAGTTAAATGGCTTTTGACCCAGGGCACACAGGAAGTATGTGATGAAGCCATAATGTTCAGGTGTAACTTAAGAGTTAACATCCTTGGGACCAGCAGTTGGCATAATGGCTATGTCACTGGACTTCCACGTAGTTGACTGCTGTTTGAGTCATGGACTCACACCATGCACATGAGTGTGCAAGTCCAAAATCCCAAGAGGAGAATGGAGGAGAAGGGATTGTGGCCTGGTCATCCCCCATGGGGGTGATTTCTCTCTTTCTGTCTCTCTGTCTCTCTCTTTCTGATGAGCACATGTGCCCTATAGCAAAAACCTCTCCAAAAAAAAGCACCTATAATTGAACTATTACAGTAATGATGATAAATTCAAATCATACTTTTACTATCTTATTAATGTACTCTAATTAATGATATTCATTTGAAAGTGAGCAAACAGAATTTCTGGTTTAGTTTAAACTGTAAAAAGTTTTTTTTTTCCATATTAAATTAACTTGCCCAATGTAATTGTGCTTATCATTTTAGTCCCAAATATAACTCAGGGGTTCTCCAGGTTAGAGAAATACTTCCCATCAGCATCTTTCAAGAATTTCCAGGCACCGAAAAACCCCAATATACACAAAGGGTATAAAAATCACTTGGATACGGCCAAACTAACCGGACTCTGAAGAGATTATAAATTACATGCTTGACAATGTTACTAGAGCTTATGAAGGTACTTATTTTTTTTTAAAGGTTTTTGTTATAGGGCATGTGTGCTTGCCAGAAAGACAGAGAGAGACAGAGAGACAGAAAGTGAGAAATCACCCCCAGAGGGGATGGCCACACTGCAACCTCTTGTTCTCCATTCTCTTCTCGGGATCTTGGGCACGCACGCACACATGCTGACATGAGTTTAAGCCACCGAATCCGGGACACCAAACTGCGGTCGATTACATGGGAGTCCAGACACAGAGCC